TCTGCATGTATGTGTGTGTGTATTGTGTATGTGTTTGTATGTGTTTGTGTGTTTACGCTCGCATTACACAAATGTGTTGCAGGTCTAAGGAGTTCCTTGCGCAGCATTGCCGCTTTATTATTTCAGTCGTTTACTGCCGTACGCACCCTGAAAGTCGTGTGTGTCTGCAGCAAGCGCGTGTATGTGTACCTATGGACGCGCGCGCGTGTGTTGTGTAGGGGGAACGGTAGTGTTGTGCTTAGCGTGCTGCCTGTGTCTGTGTGTGTCTGTGTGTGTGTGTCTCTGTGTGTGTCTGTGTGTGTGGTGTGTGGGGAGCGGTAGTGTAGTGCTTAGCGTGCTGCCTGTGTCTGTGTGTGTGTGTCTGTGTGTGTCTGTGTGTGTGTGTCTGTGTGTGTGCATGTGTGGTGTGTGGGGAGCGGTAGTGTAGTGGTTAGCGTGCTGTCTGTGTGTCTGTGTGTGTCTCTGTCTGTGTGTGTCTACGTGTGTCTGTGTGTGTCTGTGTGTGTGTCTGTGCGTGTGTGGTGTGTGCGGAGCGGTGGGTGTAGTGCTTAACGCTACGCTGCGCTACCAACCCGGCGAACCCAGTTCCATTCCCGCTCACGACCACCACCGGTGACGATTATTTGAACCTCCCCTAGGTCGACTCTGCCTCAAACGAGTAACTGCTGTAGCATATTAACATCGCCACTGGGGAGACAAAGGCGGCCGGCCGTGGTGGATACAAGTCCCGGGCGAAGCCGGGTAGTACAGCTAGTCCAGATATATAAACACAGACACAATTTCAACCGAGAAGATGGATACAAACTGAGCAATCATTGGAAGGACGTTATTAACCAGTTTAAGTCATAACTTGCTGTGATGTTTTAATCCTACTTGCCGATGTTAGCAGTTATTTCCATCTCTCTGAGTGACATACACGCTAAATGTCTCACTAGCACAGCCACCGTTGCTCCTTTTCCTCGATGTGGTGTTGTCTCTCGTTTTTTAACGAGCTGGATGTCTCACTAGCATAGCCACCGTTGCGTTGGTTCGTTTACAATGACATGCTAATCTCTCACAATACAATGGCCACCTTCACAGCTGCGTCGTCATCGTGGAAGTACATCACCGATCTTACATTGACATGCAAATTCCACCTCTAGCCCCGCCCACTTACCCTTGGGCTGAGCCCATCTCAAGCCTATATAACTTCGTGTTTCAGCATCTCTCCCCGCTGTATTTTCTCCTGCCTTGGCAGCTCTCTCATTATATTTTTTCACCTAGTGACGATTGCTCGTGTTGCGCTCGAAACGTCATGATCATTTTATAATTTGTTGCTATCTACGTGGCTTTACCGAAAGACCCAAAGAATATAATATAATGTTTATATGAAAGCCGGGTGCATATGGGACCCCGGGGTCCCGTCATAAGGTTCAAACATCAAATTCTATTTATCAAAAACATGCTTTGAAATGAAAAGCAAGAAAAGTCGTAAATGCTTCCTTTGCATTTGTTGTCATACCACTTATGGATATTCAGCAAGGTGAATGTATCTGAAAGTATTAATCAGTGACATGTACAGACAAATGATAACGCCTTAACCATGTTTGATGCTTTTGCTTCAGCGAGAACGCTGGCGCTTTAGCGACAGAGTAATCATTCTCGGTGACATTCGCAATTTAATAAGCAACCCAATGGCATCATAGTTCAGGCCTGTGCTTGGAGCCTGGTAAATTAAGATAGAATGCATGTCACACTGCCTTTATGGGTGCAGCGCTTTGGGTCCAGGAGAGGGCTTAGCTAAGCATTTTAGGATGAAAGGCCATCATGAAGGGGTACGGTGAGCTAAAATGACCCCACCTGATCCCAATTGCATGGAACAATGATTTTTTTTTATTTAAAAGGAAAAAAAAAGTCAAGAACAAAATAAAGGAATGACTTCAGAGTAATTGATTTGCGGTGGCCAAATGTCCCCAACCAACCTTGCTCACATCAATAACTTGCTTCAACTTACGTATCAAATCATTATAACCTGTTATTTAATTTAAAACATCCTATTGCTGAACAAACGCTATGGGATAAAAGTAACCTTTTTTACAGGAATAACATGAACACTTATATAGTAACAGTCTCAAGCTTCAACTAGATGCCTTGTTGAGACTAATGCTTGCAGAAAGCTATGCTATGCCACAAATGCCAGATTATTTCAGAAGATGTACAAGGGTTGGGGGTGGACAGGGTGAGAGAATCAAAATGCCCATGGCTTGACATGGAAAGTAATAACGGCCTCTGACGAAACCGTTACTTTTATACATAACCCCTTCAAATGCAATGTGCTTGGTCCATCAATGTTCCAAAATTGTAACCCCTACCCAAAATAACCCCTTCGACTTGGTCTTCACATCACTCACTTACAGCCTTATGCATGTGGAAGATATTGTGCAATGGTGCCTCATGACGATGCCCAACTGTACCTGATGATAGTTCACTTCAAGCCAATGGTCAATATTTTTGGAGACCCATCTTGCTGACACCTTGCTCATCAGTCAATCAATGTGGCTTATGTTGTACCATTAGAAATCTGTCTCATAGTCAGATGGCAAAATCGCGAATTTCATTGACGTTTTCTTGAATTTTGGAAGTTGAAGGATGCCCAGATCATATTTCAATTTTATGAGACTCTCTTCCACATTTAAACTCTGCACACTACTTCTTCACCAAGGGATTTAACGGGCATATTCTCCTACCATGCTTCCCTGCTTCCCATATATTTATTCCATGCAAGGTGATGTCATACATAGAACACATTGGATAACTGCTCTCAGCTCCTATATATATGTATATTGATGCATACATTTTTACAGTCAACAAACTGTATGATTTCAAATGCGCTTATAGAAATAACAAGGTTAATTAATGCCTGTGCAATTGAGTGATCCTTCTTCAAATTATCTACTTTTAACTGCACGAGTACCACATTTTGCAGCACCACTCCTACCTTATGCCACAGATTTGTCAACTATCTCGCATATCAACAGCCAGGCCACACAAGACCACGATGCGGTCAGCTACTTCATACAGCACTCATTTTCCTTGTATGACAATGGGTAGAAAATGTTGCATTCATCTACAGTATGCATACGGAATTATGCAAAACATACACAATGGCTTCGACCATTTCATAGGATCAAACTTTGTAAATCAAAGTGTTCTCGTAGAACATCCTGAATGAGACTTTTCTTCCGGTCAATGTACACTGTTAACAAGATACTATTGGTGCCTGATAATATCTCCACTTTAATCTCGACCTAGAAAGTCAATGGGTTGATGGGAGACACAATATAGAGACGTGCTTATATTTACTTCAAACCAATGATGCTCCGCTGATGAGACCAGTCCAGAGTTTGCTTGCTGAAAAAAAAAAGATGCTGCTTGATAATATTGGTCTCGAGAACCAATCAGTTGATGGATGAAAACATTAGTTGTTACTTATATTTAAGGCTGTTGGTTGCATCAGTATAGACATACGACTGGCGTAATTATTTCAACGTGCAATAGGTCTCGATACAGTTGCCCACTCTGCACCCAAACGATTGTGCCAGGGTCGAATATTTGCAATCAGGTGAGATCGCAATAAAACATTCCCCAAAACCAGGGAGCAAGTTGGAATAACGTGACCACTCATTATTATCAATAGGAGTATGTGTGTAGGTATGAGAATAGTTGTATTACTGCGAGAATATGCATATGTGTTGTATAAGTGTGTGCACACAAAGGGTGCATGTGTACGTGTGCGTGTGTGAGAGACTGTATGGTGATATTTTTTACGTGGTTCAGTGATAAGTTGAAGGTGGATGAGTTGCTAGCCCCTCGTACCCGTCCAGAGCCCCCATTGGCTGCTGTGGTGGCTACGAGCACTATGAGTGGAAAGGCTGATTGAACTGGCCTTCCCCCCATGGCACATCCACCACTTTAAGGCCACTTCACGTAGCCTTAAAGTGCACAAGCGCCGTGGTAACGTCACCGCCACTTAGTGGTGAATGGCGGTTGTTGTTGAGAGACAGTATGCGTGCAGATTTCTTTCCGAGTGTGCTCCATGTACGTGCACGTTGGTCAATGTGTGCATGTTTGCTTTATAGGTTGTTGTGTATGCTCGTTTATGTGCATGCGAATCATACACGTAGGAGTTTGCTGGGGCGGGCCCTGCACTACACAATGGCGGGCCCTGCACCACACAATGGCTCATTGCCCCCCCCTCACCCAAGTTGTATGTAAGGATGTTGAATTTATTTTGCGCCGTATGGTGTCAACCGTGCTGATCGGAGGTGCGAAAGTTTACTGTTGAACAGCTCTGCTCTGCCGGCCCTCCCATCCAAGAGGAGCTGGAGCTGGGCCTGGTGTAAATGTGCATATATGCTTTGTTGATGGATAAGTGCACGTGTATACATGTGTACATGTCGGCGTGTGTGTGTGTGTGGAACGGTGTTGCGGCTAATGCGCTGCGCTGTGAATCCGGTGACCGGAGTTTGAGTCCTGCTCATGGCCACCTTCACCAGTGATTATTATCTGAAACGGTCCTAGGCCTCCCCTAGGCCGACTCAGCCTTAAATGAGTACCTGGTGCAATGCGTAAACATCACCTCTCAGGAGAGAAAGGTGGCCGGACGTGGTCCTGGCCTCCCACTGCCTTTGCGTGATGTAACGGCCTTCATATGTCCTCACTAACAGCACTTGCCCCAAGTCTGTAAGGCTATATGGGGGATCTTTATTTTATGTATGACTTTTATTTTTATGACTACTAACAACACACTTTGCAGCAGTATTGCACTCGATCGCATTGCATTCTGCCGCGTAATATTTCAACTCGGACAATGTATAACAACTTCTGCGATACAATGCAGTGCGATCTGATCTTGCCTCATCGATCGCGATATAACCACATTGGTTATACATCTAAGACTCTGACCCGTGTTCGCATGTGTCGTAACTCCAATGTAAGGGAAAGCGCTTTTCAATGCTCACCGGCTGAGATTTCTCTGGAGCAGGGCTTTTATTTTCCTTTTTCTTTTTGTCTTTTTTGTCTTTTTCTTTGTCCTTTTCAACATTTCTCTGCAAAGAAAATGTAACTGCCATTATTTATATGAAGAAAAAAAACAGCACTCGTAAACAGATTCTCCTGAAACAGCAGATGCACAATATGCATTTTAATAGTCAGCAGCGTAACGTATTTTTATGTATTATCAAGCATTAACTGCAATATAAAAAGACCAAATAATATATTTTTACGTGTTTACAAATGTTGAACAACAACAATTAGACGAGTTCACAGAGATGAGAATTAAAATGAGCCTAAGAAACTTTAATTTTATGTATAATTTACATGCTAGGAGTATCTTCCCTTACACCATGCTCATAACCTGATCGCAAGCACAGCTTGTAATGTGCAGTGATGTTTAAGAACATCAAATAAATAAACAGGAATACAATAAACACTTGAAAAATAAGTGCATAATGTAATCAAGACAAATTCATAATCGGATCACAATGGGCCAAACCTAGACCGAGTTCAAAAGCTAAATTATGCTGATGCCTGTTATAGTCTCAACTGCATGCAATCCAATTGTTGTGCCAAAAATGATATAAAATGCCAAAATGATGCATTGGGTACACATGCAGAAAAACAAAGACTATCTTCAGCGTGTCCCAGGGACCGTCAGTATCGGCGTGGTTAATGAGAGCACACATTTAGTTTGGGGCGAAGGATGGCACAGCGAGGTGGTGGTGGGTGGCTCACGCCTGCCTTCAACTCTGTTCCCCTGCGCTGACACATGGCGCTGCATGTGCTCATTTGTTAAGACCGAGTCAACCGGTGGTGTTAGTACAGCTACAGAAAACAAAAGGAGAGCGGCGTTATTTATGTACGTTTCATTCGTGGCAGAATGCATCAGAATCGAAATATTTATTTGCACCGGAGGAATCCGATAAGCTACAAGGCTTTTTCAAAGATGTCCAGTAGGGGTGGGTCAGAACGTTACAACAAACAATACACAAACACGATAGTGAGTGCAACTAATAGGAAAGGTAAGCAAATCAGTAACAAAAGATTAAAAAAATAAAACAAACAAAATTTTACCAGGTAAAGCCCAATGAAGCATTCACTCTTTTTTTACCACGTGAAAATTTACAGCAACCAAATAATGTAAACAATCAAAATTATCTCAACACATGTTTCTAAATGTGGAGGGAAAAAATGGGGGACCCGGAGAAAAAAATCCACGCGATCAATGGACAGAACACGCAAACGCCAAATATACAGCAGGCGTTGGGGTCGCAATCAAACCCTCAACCTCCTGCATACCAGGCGAGGAAGAGGACATCATGCCAAACAGGGCAAATTCAAGTGATAGAGGTCCAAGCCAACTTATAAACAAATGCAACTTTCACACTCCGGTGTAAAATATTACCAACGCACATACGCTTAGATGTTAGCACACACGTGTAAAAATACACATATATTCAAAGTAAAAAAAGGGACCTGATTAATGCAGCAAGAGCTTGAGATACGAATTTGAGTCATTGACTAATTTACCATGAAATGTTGGTACTATGTGACCAAAATGTACTTCCGGGAAAGTAAATGTGAATTAAGTCCACAATGTCTTCCTGTTAATATAAGAGTGTGATTGTCATCAACTTCACTGAAAGCTCTTGGCTTGGTGGGGACCAGTCTCTTCATGCAACACTCATTGTTCTCAAGAAAGCTACACAGCTATTCACAACAATATTTACTCATTAAAAGTTAAACAAAGCAAAGAGTTATTGGTTAACAGCCTCAGCAAATAAACCGAAGGGCGAACTAATGAACTGCCTTGCACAATTGTGTTAAACTACAATGACAGGAGGTCGCAGGTTCGATCCCAACCCTGATGCTTATATATTTGGAGTTTGCAGGTTCTCCTCGTGGCCTCGTCGATTTTTATCTGGGTTCTCCGGTTTTTCTCTCCACATTTAGAAACATGCGTTGAGAGTATTTGGCTATGATAAATATTTGTAGACTATTCCACAACAGCATCAACAATCATTGGAAATAACATTATACGTACGTATATATTTAGAACATTAACCTTTAATGGGGCAGTCTTAACTTAAACAACTGAATATCAAAATGCAAGCACGGCAGCCGTATAAGGGTTTTAATTATGTATTTTGGCACAAATACAATAGCGCACACAAAATAAAAAGTGTCACCCTTGAGATCGTGCAACTATTTGCAAAAACACGAAAACTATTTTTTTTCCACAAAGATTTAAATTTTTTTTGTGATACATGAGTGCTGAGATCATATAGAATTAACTACATGCGTACTTAAAATGTCCTTAATTCGGTTGACAACCCTATTAGGTATATCTTTTTTTCATTGTGATCATACGCAGTTAGTATGAAGAAAGCCATGCAAAATTTTGGCATTTACCAAATACCCAATTTTGTGAGTGGCCTACTTACACAAACAATATCACTTTGCAGCAGACGACATCGTTTTTCTATTCCCTAGGCGCCAAAAAAAAACCCCGAGCATACCTATACTTGGCGAGCATGCCGACTGCTAGCCTATTCGGCTGACATTGCGAGAATTAATAGTCAAGCAAAACGTGTTGAATATTTTCAAATTATAATGTAACATTTAATCGGCTGCGGTAATGTCCTTACAACTACATTTCACACGTGGGAAGTTCATTGGTGCAGGAACTGACCTTGGGTGAGCTCATGTCAGCATTTCTGTCCATGTACCTCTTCTTGTCATACTTGTCCCTTATAAAAGCCTCAGCAGCCCTGCAGAGATGCTGTCACTAAGGAATGCAATGTCGCAACACAATGTGCTAACATAAAACCATAAAACAATCGTCGTTGTATTTGTTCAAAAGTGGATTCTTGACATAGATATCCGAAACACCAATCACCATATTCCGTCATTAAAAAATACAACCTCGCAGCTGCTAACACACACTGTGATTATAGTTCACAATAACAACAGCGGTGGTGTGACTTGGGCAATAAATATATTCGTGGGAACAGTTCTTCAGTAGATTCAATTCATTGTCAGTGGGGGGAGAAATATTTCCCAGGGAACGGACAATTCAAACGCACTGCAAGAGAAGGGCAAACCTTGCTTTTGCAAAGCAGGGATCTCAAAATCACAGAGCCCAGTGAGAGCTGAACAGCAGTTATCCAACACTTTGCTATTGGAAATAGCTTTTGATGGGACAAAACTACATATAGATGGCAAGGCATGCCAAGCAAGCAGGGTCTGCCCATTTGGCTCAGCCTCAGTGTCACAGCATGCCGCTTTCTGATAACAATTTCTTTTGAATGCTTGACAAAGAAGCAGCTTCCTTTTAACTGGCAACGTCGGCCCACATAATCCTCACAATACAAGCGGAATATAAGCAATTTTCTGTTTCATTATGGGAATACTGAAATAAAATATGCGGTCAAAATGATAGGCTCAGACAAGCATTGACCGCCGTTCGTTGGATGGCAGTAACTGAGCCTGTGGAGTAATCTTCTTGGTTCTTTCGGTAAAGTCACGTAGAAGTGAAATAATAAAATAATAAAAATAAAACATAATAAAATAATTCTCACGACGTTTCGGCCACAACGCAAGCAGCCGTCCTCAGGTGAAGAACAGTTATTTCGGAAAGACAGCGTCTGAATGGGAGTAAATTCCACATTGCCATCGCAGAAACCAGTCTCTCTCAAAGTGGTTAAGTAAAGTCTCTCAAAGCTGGATCCAAGTAAGCGGGAATATTCAGCGAGCTAGAAAAGGGTGAATTAAATCAAGAAAACTAAATGTACAAAAAAAAAAAACCTTCCGAACCGGAACAATGCGAGTGCGTACGCTAACGGATCTCCACGCGGTGAGAAGTGGCATTCTGCAGTCAATCCAACTGCATGGGTCTATCGGAAAGCTCCACACTAATCATTCGTAGGGAATTCAAGATGCGCACATCTACCCTCGGACATGTCACGTACTACGCACTACCATTTGAATTACAAAGGTACGTGACATTAGCACTCGCAAATCTATAGGTGTATACTTATTTGTTGGATGGAATTTGGTTAACGCGTGCACTTGGACGCCTCGGTTGTCGACATGCTCTCTGCTTGGCCCTCTCTCTCACGTTTATTTTACATTCATTTTACAACAAACTCTTAAACCTCCATCACGACATCTCTTCGGACCTTCTACCTCTGCTTTATAGTAATGGCAAGGGGCTCAGAGTTTTAAAAAGTACATTATATTATAAAGTATTAAGTTTGGTTGTTGAGAGTTAAAACATGTGTACTGCACGTTAATGACTTGCAAATGTTATTTATCTTTCGCAATTATACACACATTAATTATTTGAAGGATGCCAGACATCTCCCATAGCTGGAAAGGTGATGTGGGTGGGCGGATGATTGGGTGAGTCAACACCTGAGCGGGATTTCAACTCCAATCTTTCCAACTGCGGTCAAGCAAGCAGACTTCAGCACCATCTGGACAGAACAGCAAAGCATAACTATACTATACGATGCAAACTTCCTTAATTTTGTGCGGAATGACTCCACAGTATGCATACATACATACGTACCTACAGACACTACTTCATTCAAATAATGAGCAAAATGTATCGTCAATGCACTATATATTGAAAAGCTGATATCATCGCAATGGGAACTCTGACTTAATTTATTTCCGAATTTGTTTAATCTGCAGCTGTGGCAAGATGTTATCTCTCTTGCATGGTACACAGGAGGTCGTAGGTTCGAACCCACTATACTTATTTGCCAATCTTATTTGACAGACAACCATTACTGTTTTACCATGTTTAGTGGTGGTCCTCTTGTTACAGGTTGAGTCACAAACCGCACCTCTCCATAACAGGGGCTCAGCCTTTGTTATGCAGTCTAGTCTTGGTCTCAAGCCTCACCGTACCATATTAATAATAAGTATGCGGCCCTTGCCCCACCACCTTATCCAGCCATTATATAAACGCAGTGGTAGCTCCTGCAATCTCTCATTTACTTGATGCAGCTGTCGTGGCTGTGACGGTACCACCTGAAGACGGAAGCTTGTGTTGCCTCCGAAACGTCGTGATTTTTATTTTATTTTACTTTTTAATGTTTTTACCTACGTGACTTTACCGAAAAAACCTAAGAATATGTATATTTGGAGTTTGCACGTTCTCACTCGTGGCCTCGTCGATGTTTATCGGAGTCCTCCGATTTTTCTCTCCACAATTAGAAACATGCGTTGAGAGAATTTGGCTGTGATAAATTGCCACGTGATAAGTCACTTGGTGAAGCTATCATTAGTGGCCAGGTCGCTTATGAAAAAGACCTATCTTGCTCAGTGGGGCAGACCTGGTATAATAAAAAAAATTTGTAGTTTTCATTGCTATGTGTAATTATTCCATAGTGTAGATACATACATTATTTAATTCAAATATAAATGAGCAAAAAATATTTTTCGTGCACTATATTGGGAGCTCTGACTATTTGTTCCCGACTTTGTTGAATCCGGCGAGGTGGCCGGATTCATCAAAATAAGTTCCACTTCATGGGGATGTCAAGAGTGGTTGTTCTATGGATAAACTACCACTAAGGGGACGAGAAAATTCCACCGCTGGCTTAGGGCTGTAAACAGCAGATGAGCACCAATCCCTCAATGCCCATTTGAGCAGGACAATTACTCTATTTTATTGGTTATATCGCGGTCAATGGGTGCGTGTCCTGCGCATATATATATATTTCAGTTGCGTCACAGGCTCGTGCGCTGTTACTCTTGACTGGGTAGCCGGTATTTGTCCGTGTTTCACTATGCAATAAATTCGCCTCGTACAGAAGGCTACACAAAGGAGACCTATTCTCACAGAAACCACAACCTTTTGTGTAACCCACGTGGAAACTGCGCATACTTGGTGAGTAATTTGTTTCCTTTTAGTTTTATTTTATTCATTAAATATATGGTATGATTCCGTTTTTAACCGTTTTTTGTGTTGAGTTTGTTGTCTTGTTGGCTATGTGCAGTGTGAAATAAGTTGAACGTATATACGAATGGTAGCAGTGTTTTATTTTGCTTAGCGGGTGTCTTTATTGTTTTTAAATAAAATGTTCTCATCCTATGCTAATTCATTGCATCAGCGGATAGACCATGGCTGATAATGATGTTAATTTTGTATGTTTGAAACAAAAACAATGAAAACGAAGCTTTACATTGCAGCCCTTTAAAGAGCAAACTATACGTTTTCAAATGAGACAGTTATAAAGTAACGACACTCGTTCACAACAAAAACTCAAATATGACTAGCTTTTTTGAGTCGAACTTAATTACGAAATAGATTTTGAAACAAGTGAACTTCATAACGTTAAACAAATGAAAGTTCTCAATCCATTTCATTAAATATAATAATGAAGATAATATAATGAGCTTGAACAGGCAAAGCTGCATACATGATGTGATGGTGCAACCTTAATATATACATAAAGTTTTGAGGGCAATAATTCAACTGCATTGTCCTAACAACAAAAATCCCGAGTGCAACTCTCTCTACAACAAAGAGCTTGCCACGGTTGCACTTGTTAGCATACACTTTGAACGGGCAGTACTCATGTGCATTGCCATGTAGAACAAATGCAAAAAAAAGCAGCAGCCAAGAAGATCTCATTAAAAATGCACAGTAAATGAACAATGTTTTTTTTTCAATGGCTCAACAGCATGGCCAAGCAAGATTAAAATTATATCTTGCATCAGAGCCCTGGCTAAGCAATGTATGGTTATTAGACAGTGCATTTTAGATTAAGCTGTTAAAATGGTATTATATTTACTGAAATTTGCAGCAAAGGGTAGTGAGGTTAACACTGAATAGGTTGGCTGGCTTGTCTGTACATTATTATACACACCCTTTTTAAGTATATTTTAATTACATAACCTCAGTCTCAATGCACACTTCAGAAAAGCACTGCTTTGGCAAATTGTCTAGTAAAGTTTTGCACTTTTGTGTGTGGGCAAAACGCTCAAAACTCTGCACAGATGATACAGGTTATAAGCCTCCTTGGTGGACTGCCTCCGACAAAACATCACTGCCCTGCGGCTAGCTCTCTCAGAATTCATCTGTGCTTGAGACACCAAACCTGTCTCCTCCACTTAAGTGTATTGCTGAATTGTATACCAAGTCAAACTAGGGAAGGCCCGAGCCCAGCACAGAGAGCAGGTTTATTAATGTGCAGCAGGCCGGGATGGAATATGGGTCACTGAGATTATAGGGCAGAGCAAGGATCAGCATGCCACTGCCACACATGGCGCACACATACGCAATTTGACATTCGCGTGACGTCACACAGCAGAGGGCAAACGACCGTGTGCATTTCTTGTCAGACGTTCAGAAACAAACATGGATATGTTAAAGGCAGTGGAGTCGTTCGTGTTGTAGTTATTAACCTCCCTGTATCCACGGGTGACCTTCAAAGCAAGGCAAACGCACGAAGTTCATCCTCGAGGCAAAAGCCTTATGTCGTTGGAAGGTTACAGCTGACCTTCAAAAGGAATTAATGCCCTTAATAGTGCTGCAAAAAACTCGTATCCATAAACTATTAATTTTTTATTAGAAAAATTCAAAAATGTTGAAAGACTAACCATTTACAGAAGAGAAAAAAACAAATCTGTAAAGGCAAGGCACCAAAATGAATTTTAGAACATGACTCAAAGAATTACATTTATTGACATGTGGATAATGTATATTCAATTTCTGTGCAATTTCATTTGGCAGCCATTTTTTTACTTTGCAGGAAATGTACGAAATTGAAAGTGATCAAATTAGACATTATTTATAACCTAATTAAGCTTTATTGGGGACACATAAAATATGAGCCACAAGGCAGAGTAGAAAACCAATATAAAATGCGATGTCATTTGGTTACAGTACCTTGTGATGGTTAGGGCATAAAATAATTTTACAGAGATAAAAAAATGGATATTCGCACATCTAATTTGCAAACACATATTTCAATGCAATGGTTTCTCCGCTGGCTTTAAATAACATTAATTTAATATATGGCTGTGTAAAATACTGCACGTTACTGAGCACATGGGAAAACACTGAGCCAACACTTCCGAGAGCCTGCATTCAAGACATGGAAAAGGGACTTCCACATTAAGTATGCTTAATGTTATCATCCCAATCGCACAATCTATTACCTAGCAGCACTTAATTTGACCATGCCCAGTTCAGCACAATACACAACTCAGTGACAGCAATGGAACAAAGCACAGATAATGAGGCCTGTGTAGCGAGCAAGTGAAAAAGAACAATTGAAATTGTGGTCTCTATAGAATGAAGACGATTCTACTCTTGCTATAATTGCAATGTAAATACATATTGATTGTGTAAATGCATAGCAATCGGCGTTAAAGGTAGGTAATAAGTTCGGATATACCTTATTCAAATTCACATGCTTTGCTTTGCAACTTTTAATGCAAACACAGTTTTGGGTCAGTTTAACACGTAGGTTTTTTGGGTTAGATCGCGTAAATATATGTGTCGTTAAATTCACCACCACCCGACACAGCCAATAGTAAGGCTTGTCACGTAAACAGAACGTTCCAATTCGTTACTAGTACAGCACACCGGTGTTGGAGAGCAAAGCCACAACATTTATAATCTGAGTACAATGTTTCGCCAGTAATTACAACAAGCTTCATCAGGCGACAGCCACAAATCTGGCTGCCACAAATCTGGCTATCTCCTGATGAAGCTAGTTGTAATTACTGGCGAAACGTCGTACTCAGATTATAAATATTGTGGCTTTACTCTCCAGCATACCAGTGTGTTGTACTAGTAACGAATTGGCATGTTCTGTTAACGTGACAAACCTTACTAATTGGCTGTGTTGGGTGGTGGCGGGTTTAACGAAACATTCATATATTTACGCGATCTAAACCAAAAAAATCTGTAATATGGACAGTTTTGAGTGAGAGATTCTAATGCTGTAATGTTGCAACGCCACTGTCTCCGCCATTACGGAGCATAGGTATGCACGTGTAGTGTACATAAGTGATGTCTAAGGCGCTGGACTGTTTCACAACTCATGAAGATTACAGGGGCTAGCATATGTCATGTTAGCATAATGAATGGTTTCAACATCCCACTGCGCAAGGGAAGGAAACAATTATAATGCCCCACAAGGCTCAGAGACATAAGCTCTGCTTAAAGGATACTGGTCAGAAACAGGCCTTCGGAAATCCTTGGGGAGAAATCCTTCATAGAGCTTCTTGGCTTTTCCGTTCCCCATGTCCTGCATGTGCTGTTGTGGAAGGAGACATAAAAAACAAATCAATTGAAACAATTCAACGATAACTCGAACAAAATATATATTTTAAGCCATCAAATTTGGCGATGTCACTCGAAATGATAACGTGGTTGCAGAAATTGCTCTTTTCATTCCGTGCCTTCCGAAACGATGAAGAAGGGGGGAAACCCCCACTTCCGAGGACAATTCAGAGAACCATTGTTTCGAATGTGAGAAAGAAGACAAACATGACAGAAGTGAAAGGAACGTTGCACGAGCTGCGTATAGGCTGATTTGAGTTTGTGTTTCTTTTTGGTCGAGTTAAATATTTCATGAGAAATGACATTTGCACCGCAAGGTATCTCGTAATAAAAAAAAAACACCGTTACAATGCCTGCCAAAAGAAAACGTGCACGCAAAGGTTTTAGTCGAAAAAAATCTACCTCACGGCACAAGTCTCTTTGTGTAGCACACACACTGGTTTTATGTACGAGCAGTCACATTTCAAGGCCAAGGAAATAGAATGTATTGCTTTTTATTGCCAAAAAGAACATTGCAATTGAACATACCGTGCTGTAATATATTAGCTGTCAGCATTTGCATTTTCTTACGTCAAAATTACGCCCACAAGTTATAAAACGTGCCCATTCACATCAATATACGTGAGTAACAATACTGTACACTGCATGTACAGTAATAACACATCAACTGGAAATGGTTAATTTTCCTGAAGGTAATTTTTTCCCTATTTGATTTATCGCCAATAAATGATGTACCGATCACGCTGTCATCAATAACCGAACCCGCCTAGACATTATAACTTCATGTTTCCCTACAGCACAACTACTTCCAATAATCATAATACTGCATCACAACGTTATGCTCCTCAAATTAAGCAGACAAGCATCTACCTTATGTCGAGCTAACTAAATTATCATTTGGCACATTAAAGCAAGCACAACAACGTATGTATGTTTAACTTCTTTCACACCGTACGTAGCCAACCGTGCTAATCGGAGGTGCGAGGAAGGATAACAAACTAAACGTAAAAAAGCGGTTGTAAAAAAAAATAGTTTTTGATCTAGATTGAAAAGTGCACAGCTCCAGGGGCTTCCTAATATCGGAAGGAAGGGCATTCCAGACGGCCGCAGAAGCGCATCTGAAAGCACGCGATGTGGTAATCGTCTTTGTTCGATGGCTAGCCAAAAGCCACTGCGAGGATGAAAACAAATGCATATGAACTTGTTATCCTGGTGTGAAGTCACCAGAGGCTGGTTTGAGATCAAACTCGTTGCACTTAATGCCAGAAGTACTTTTTAAAGGCCATGACAATGCAACACAATGGCCCCTGCTTGTTCGATGACCTTCAAAGGCAGAGTGGCTGGCAAAATCTGGCTTAACGTCTCTCACAAAGAAAGCCTGGCGGCATGCACATGGACGCGTGCCGCGGGCTGAGATTCGTCCAAACAGTGAAGAGACAGCCAGAAAAATACCACCTGTGGGGTCAGTCTTGCTTTCCCAGATTGCAGATAACAAATGCCAATTCCACACACGCACACACGCACAAAGATTCCCCCCCATATAGCCTTAACAGACTGTTGGGGCAAGTGCTGTAAAACGAGCATCTATGGAGGCTGGTACGGCACATGAGGGGCTGGGTTGCCAGTACCACACCCGGCCGCCTTTGTCTCCCTCGTGGCAATGTTTTTATACATTGCACTAGGTTAATCATTTGAGGCCGAGTCGACCGAGGCGAGGCCCACGACCAGTTCAAATAATAGTCACTGGTGTTGGCCGTGAGCGGAAATCGAACTCGGGTCGCTCTGTTCGTAGCACAGCGTGCTAACCGCTACAGTACCACTCCCCACACACATGCACACACCCACACATAAACAAGGATGCGTTGAATTCCATCCCATCGCCTCTTTCCCGAAGTTTGTATAACCTTACTCAATTTAAGAAACGTATTCACTCATATCTATAATACCTTTAAGAGGGCTGTTTGTTGCTGGTTTGTGGGTTAGGCCTCTGGGTGTGCTCAACAACCATTGTTTAGAAGACTCGAAGCACAGAGACGCACACGTACACACACGTACAAGTTTACATAAACATGCATGCAAACAAACACAATAATACACTCACACATTCTCGAACAAGCACACAAATGTGCGGCTACAAGCAGACACATGCATGCACACAGAACGCACAAACCCATGCATATGTAATGACAACATACCATCTAGTGGCCATGGGTGTTAACTACGGGTGTGGGTGCAGCATAGGACGACACATACGCGAGCGACCAACAGGGGGGGCATAACTGGGCCAAGGGTCAAAGAGGAGATCGAACTGGAAGCTCCTGGAACCCGCGGGAGAGTTCGAGAAGAGGGGCGTGTCCAAGGGCGGGGCTTGGCCATGCTGAGTGAATATAAGGGAGAGGCAAACGGGGGTTTGGGGCTGTCATGTGTGTGGGTTTGGGGTCCTGGCTGTCGTCGCTGTCATCGCTGCCATCTCTTTCATCGCCGTCATCACTATATAGTCAGCCAGCTATAGAGTTGTATGTCGCCGCTGTCGCTGTATGGTTGGCTAGGCTATAAGTCAGTCAGCGCTAATGCTACTCTGTGACCCTGTCGTTAAAGTATTAAAAAATAAATAAGAAACCCCCTACAGTCGTGTCTCTGAAGTCGTCTCATGATACACTGACACCACACACATGCAGCTACACATGAGTACAAAGACCAAGACCCCCAATGTAGCCTTTAATGGATTGTTGGGGCAAGTACTGATAGCTAGCACCCATGAAGGCCAGCACGGGATACGGGGGGGGGGGGGTGGGTAGCTAATACCACACCCAACCACCTTTGTCTCCCCAATGTTGATGTTAACACATCACACCAAGTACTCATTTGAGACTGAGTCTACCTACGGGAGGCCCAGTTTAAATATTCGACACTGTTATATATCGTGAGCAGGAATCGAACTTGAATTTCTAGAACCACTACACTTCCACTATCCATGCACACGGGTACAACAACAACAACAACTGCCATTCACCACTAAGTGGCTGTGATGTCATCACGGTGCTTGTGCCATGCTAGGTGCACTTTGAGGCCACGTGACGTGTCAAAGGCCCGTGAGCAGGATATCACGGAAGAGACCCAGGTGCCATGAGTTAACTGAGATGACTGGCAGATGCACCAACTGTGCTCCCCACTGTGCCAAGTTTCTGCATTTAAGACACCCGGCGCTCTGCTCATTGTTGAAAGCATCACTACTCTGCCCTCAGTTGTTGCTGGAGGGCGACTGTCTCCAACTCCCCAGCAGTGCCCTTCACGAACCTCCTCCACAGAGGACGATCTTGACACTGGTGGTATCAGTCATTTGAAGTCCAATCACCTCTAAATCCTTCTGTTTCACAATCAGTCCAAGTTTTCTCGAGCCTGTGCCACACCTATTTAGCACCTTCTATCAGGCCAAACAGAAGCTGCTTGGGCATGCAGTGACTGGGCTGGTGGGCTACGTGGCGCAGCCAACGCAACCTTGCTTTCTGGAGGAGCTCATTGATGGGACTGTGTCCAGACCTTTCAAGGATTTGTGAGCTCCTAACACGATCCAGTCTGGTTAACCCCAAAGGATGGATCACACGCAAGCTCGCCAGAATGTTCCAAACCAACGCAGATCTTCCTTTAGAGTGCCCCACGTCTCACAAGCATAGAGAGGAGAGGCCATAACTGTGGCCGAGCAGACCCAGGGCTTTGTTTGGAGCGACAAGCCAAGAAGCGTCCACAGAGTGTTGCGCAGCTAATAAAAAAATTATGCCACTCGACTGAAACGGAGTGAGACCTCGACTGCCAAAAACGGAGCTGGTAATAAGCACACTGCTACAAGCATACCCAGACACACCCATCCATAAACCCACATAACGCTGCCATATTATACCGAGTGTATACATGCACTGAGTGCATGAAGGGTGGCAACAAATATACTGACCGCAAGGCTCCCCTTCCGCCGAACCACTAAGCTTTGAGTACATCCCATTGACACCCACCGAAATGTATTCCACTACAGCAGTTGCCGCTAAAAAAAAATCCTGCATCTGAACGCAGGGCTTAACGCTTTCCATCCTCTCATCCATGGCCATAAGATTACAGCTGTCGTCTCACAGAGCCTTCCCGATAGCGCGTTACTAACACCGCATTTGTTGTCTTCTCTTAATAAAAGGCTGTACTGCAACGCCACGGCATGGCACGGCAAGGAGGTGTTGCCGGCTGATCTGGTGCCAATGCCTCATCTCAAAACCAGCACTAGAGCACAAATCCATAGGCCGTTTGCAGAAAGGCTACAACTCTCAAGGGTGAGCCTGGAAGAAAGCCAATAATTCACAACGAAGATAACATTAGAATCCCTGGTGCAATTGTTAAATTAAAAAATAAAATCGGACATACACTCCACCGGGGAGGTCTTGAGAGGAAGGACTATACCTTTCTTGAGGCATCCTGAATCTTTACGGGATTAACGACACTTTGAGAATTAGTTATGGCATCGGTTCCTCGAGGCTGACTGGGAGTAGGGAGTTATAGTGGGGTCATGCAAAGGGGATGGCGATGGACCTGTTTTAAAATATAGTTATACACAGATGAATGAAGCTCACTTTAAGTGTGTGCCTGCATAAACAACTAAAACATTTGGCAAATATGATATACACTGCATTCCAATGTATGGCATTGAAAATAACCTTGAGTAGCATATACGTAAAAAAATTAAAGCTTATTGGATTTTACTTTAGCCTAAACGTGTTTTCCTTTTAAACTTAATGCCATACACTTTGATGAAATAAAAATGTTAAGTGAAGTGTAATATATGAAATATATTAATGTTCCATCGCAGTTTCATTAATCACTCGCATGCTTGAGTTGACATACACATGGATGAGCTTGGGCCTAGTGGATCCAGCCAAGGTGGCACTGAACTTAAGATGCCCGACTCAATTACAAAATTTGGAGTTCAAATCTCTGAGAGGATTACAAATCCAATAACGCCACATAGGTCTAGAAAATGAATATCGATGAAAGTTCATGTTGTTGAACCAGGTGAGTAACACAAGAGACCAGGATAGTCTCAATTACAAGCGTGACTTGTCACCAAAATTATAAAAGAAAAACAAATAACACAAAGTCCAGCGATGAAGCAAATAGAAATCGGAGGAAATAAACAACTGTGTCATACGAGAAAATCGAAAATATTGAACAAACATAAATCATTGTTATATAATATATTCCCTGTCACGTAAGTTGGCTCGGTCATCACAGTGATCGTCGATGGAAAGACTGGAGGGTATGTGGAATGTTCCACAACTGCCTAAGCAGGTAACTGTCTTGACAGGTGAGGTCCCACCTGTATCTGTTCAGATGTCCACTGGTCGAGGTTGACCGACTTGACGCGTGCGATGTGAACTCCCAGGTTGCGGTGGATTCCCGCACAGCGGATGCAGATAAACACCCCCAGGTTCCATGACGCCCACCTGGGCCCTACCAGACGAAAAGAACATTCAACGTTATTCTACCGCACGTAATAATGAATAGCGGTGCAGAGGTTTGGAGGGTAACATGCCATAGATCCCTCGCCCAGTCACGCGGAGGAATACAATCCATACGAGGAAAGCTTTGGCGCTGTACTCAAGGTGCAAATTGAAGGTCGCCCAGTTGGGAGTCGACTAAAATATGTTTCCAGGTTTCAGAAAATGCTATTTTGTGAGAATTAGCAGTAACCACTTTGGAGAGATTGGCAACTGCCATAAGAATTTCGAATTCCTACCACAAGCTCAAGGCCACCAATTGAGATGAGCAGTGCATTTCTTGGCCAGAGAGAGATTTTGACTTTTCTCCATGAATCCTGTGGTCAATTAGCTCATTCAATAAAAAAAATCTCGCAACAATAATTTAATGTGTGGGCCCCAAGTATTATATTTTCGAATTAATCTAATTATCGTTTCAATTACAACAGTGTGTGCCCCTGCATAAAAAAATATACATACAAAGCCACCGCGAGGAAAGGCCTCGTCTCACATAGCTCATAGCAGCCACGTCAGAGCGACGAGCCAGCATTGCCAAGACGCTGAAGTTGAATTAAGACGGTCAGTCGTTATTAGAGTGGCTTCTGGAGTGTAGTTGGTCTGGTCACAAAAGGACTACACTAAAAAAATACTGCTGTCTGAGACAAAAGCCGAGTGAGTGTCAACAGCCGCATAAGTGTAAACATTTTTAAAAGGCAGTATCTTCCTGCAGCAATAGAGCCACCGTCTGCAGACAGAACACCACAAAAACACGGATGCTCTACTCGTAGAGGCATTATGACATGTGACCTTGTAACGCTATCACTCATGCATAGTACAGCCAATAATTAGTAAAACGTATATTTAAAGACAGAAGCGACCCGAACACACAATGATTGAGGGTCACAACAATAAGTTAACAAGCATACCCAGCTATAACACAAATACTAGCATAAATGGACACCTCACATAATTTCAAATATAACCTTTAAGAATGTAGCCATAACAATGCACAACTTGACATTTATATTCATGAAATTCTGACACAGTAGCACAGGAACGATGGGGCTAAGGAGATCCATGTTATTTAAAGTGTGTGTGAGAGCAAGTGTGTGCACAACTACCAATGGGTCAGCAGAGAGCTTGAACCCGTCACTTTCAGGGAGGCTGTGTCCCATACTGGTACTGACACCAACAACAACAAAAAACTGCTTTTACGAATATAAACAATATTAATTTGTATTCATCAGTATCCATGCAGATGACATTCCAAACACGTAGCATCTCATACCCAAGCAAGACACCCTGATGAGGGTGAGGTTGTTGATAGGAACAGATCTGCTGAATTTCTCCGCCCCCCCCGCCCCCCAAGATGCAATCAAGACCAATTGGCAGTGCATCGCAAACGTTTTCAATGAATCCCATGTCGCCGCTGCCTTCCCAATAGTCTCCACCTGCAGGGCCATTGTACCCTGTCAGCGGGCACCAGTGCACCAACAGGAGCCATTGCCGGTGGGGAACTTGTCCATAGTGGCACAGGGAACAGCTCCCATCGTGGCAGTGAGTGACCCCAGCAGGGGCACGATCGATTCAGCAGGAACCGTCGATGGCTTTGTCAGGTACTGAACGGTGCAATGAATCTGGGCCGTTTATTCCCCCACAAGGAGAAGGAAGCCCGAATCAGCGGGGCTCCATGGACCGAAAGCAGTCCCGCTGCTGAGTTGGATAAATAATGAATTGTCTGCCGGCTGAGCAAACCGGTCGTGTGCTTCTAGAAATTGTAGGCGCATGTCCATGTGCTTCTGGCACAATCACCTGAGATCTTGCAGGTCGCCCAGGTAGGAATGCAACTGTAGACCTGCTTCGTTCAGTGCTTACATGAGCAAGATTAGGACTTTTGTATATAAACCGTGGCCAAGCCGAAGGGAATGATGCTTTACTCAAATGCCTGATGCTCCATTATTAACTTGAAGAAGCATCAGTGTAGAGCTTAAACAGGATAGGGCAAGCGGCATCCTACAGGGTGACATAAATCACCAAGTCCTTGTGCTAGTATAGTAGGTGAATAGTCTGCAAGGACCCAATTCTTGTGCTCTGCCTTCAGAAATGAGTTGGACATTCTCAGGTCCAGCCCAGCTCAGAATCCATCACTCTTCTTGGGGACAATGAAGCATATGTAAAAGGCTTCCTCCTCAGGATTACAGGTGAATAGAGAGACGGCTGCTAGCTACAACATGATCTGAACTTCTGTCTCCAGGGTGGTTTAAAGGGCTGGGTCGCGAGAAAGTATTGTTGACTGGGGCAAGTGATCAGGGGGGACATTGATCTAAAAATAGATAGAGTCTGTATCGCTCCTTGATGATATATAATGCTCATCTGCTCATGGTATTTGAGCTCCATCTGTGGTAGAAATGTGAGAGGTACCTCCCCAAAATGGAACAAAGCAAATGAAGAGGAGGCCAATTTACTATGAGGGCTGGCGATGGCTACTACTTTCCTGAGAATGCTTGAGATATACAGTATTTGTTGAAGGTCACTGTCTGCAGGTCTTGTTGAGTGCTGTCATAGGGCAACCCTGAGAAGCCAATTTTAAGTTTCATGGGTACATTGCCCAGGGCTTGCATCAAAAGCTATGAAAAGAAAGCCTGTGAGGAAGGCCATCCTCCAACCTCCTTGGCATTTGAAAAAGTTCCTTGTTTAACAGAATCTTAGCTGTTTAAATGCATGGCATTAAGTAACAGTTTTGAGCCTAAGACAATGTTGGCCTTTTTTGCCAATGACAGCAGCTGCCATTTTTTTCTGAGAGGGATAGAAGATCAAGTCCAACATCCATGGCCATCCCTCTGTAAAAAAAGACTTAAATCACTTGTAATCACTGTTCACAGCTAGACTGTTGCACTTGCTGCAACAGTGTGACTTGGATTGAACATAATATCTTATAGAAGAGATTGTAAAACATCTTAAAATGTTGGATATGTGTGTGCTTTTTATCACACGATAAATACATGAAAATATTAATGTCATATGACACTAGATACATGTACAATGTACCCACATACATTAACATTTCCCATTCCATCATTCATCCTTCACTTCAACGATGTGCCTGTCGGGACGTCAAATATTTGCCACGGTTCATAAATGAGATGCAATGTCTCTGACAAAATAAAATGCAGTTAAAAGTAAAGCAACAGCACACTGAATATATTATATCGCTCCTCCAGTGGCCTCGTAATGAGCATGCAGTGTCTCTCACAGCTCTAATGGGTGTCACCCTGCACTGGCATGTCACTGGAACCGCGCTGCAAGCATGACATTTCTTCTCAACGCATGTGCACAGCATGCAGATATGCACGAGCAGGATAAGCATCTGCACAACTAATCCATCATCATCATCAGCCATAATCAATCCCCTGTTGAATGAAAGCCTCCCCAAGCCGACACCATCTCTCACAGTCCTACGATGCAACAATTCACCCAGCATCTGCCAACGAGTGGATTTCATTGCTCCATCTCCGCAGATGACATAGGCATCGGACACATTATCTCCTGCGGATGCCACTGTCGTTATTCTCACTATTCAACCATTGTCCCTTTCAGAAATGTGTCCTGCCCAAGGCCACTTTTCTTAACCATTGATATTATTACTAGTATTAACAGTATGTTATTATAAGTACTTTATTCACGAATCCGCGTGTTCCTCGTTTTGTCTCTCAGTGTAATTCCAAGCATGCATTTCTCCATGCCTCTTCGGCTACTGATGACATTTTCAATCTTATTCATCGGTGCCCATGTTTCTGATCCATGGCATAGTGGGGTAACATGCGTTGATGTAAAATTATCTTATTTAGTCACATTGGCACACTGCTTCACATTATCAATTTGAGCTTTCCAAAAGCTTTGAGCTTTCCAAAAAGGCTCCAACTTGCTCTCGTGGCTGCTGTGGGTACGACGACGGTGCTCGTGTGCGACTACGGGACTCATTTCCCAGTGTGATTCGTTTGCATCAACATGCCGATCCTCCTTTAGCGCATCTCTGACCCCGCCTACTTATCCTTGAGTGACACCCACCTCAAACCTATATATAGCCTCTTGTTGCAACAGCCCTTTCTTGTTCAGCAGTTCTATGGCTGTATCTTCGTACCCGATGACGATTGCTTGTGTTGCGATCGAAACGTCGTAATTTATTACTTGTTTTTTTCTACCTACGTGCCGAAAGAACCAAAGAGTATTGCTCTCATTCGCCTATTTATTTAATTGTCATCATCTTTGATCTCAGTTAACCTTCAATAAATGCCCCAGGAATACATAACTTCTAATCAGATTTATTTGATTAGCTCTGTGTACAAATGGTGTTGTTGGTCTGCCCTGCAGTAAGGTAATTTGACAATCACAGTCTAAACTCTCATCTGACAAGTGCATGAATGGTTCTTATATTTGTTCATGACCCTAAACCAATGGTGTAAATGCCACGTTCCTATGGCATGAGCCAATCTCTCCAGACAGCAACCGAAGTGAAGATCCAACACAATGTTTGGCACTACACATATATTAAAACATCTTCAAATGTTTTTATTTGTCAAAGCAATCAGGGATGACATATCATGCACGTATATATCCATGGAAATCGTATAACATTGGTTTAACATGTAGGCTTTCACGACCAATATCATCCATAATACAGTTTTTTTTGGGTTAGATTACGTAAATATATGTGTCTTTAAACCCGCCATCACCCGACACAGCCAATTAGTAAGCTTTGTCACTTAAACATAACGTGCCAATTCGTTACCAGAACAACACACCGGTGGGTTGGAGAGCCAAGCCACAACATTTACCATCTGAGTACGACGTTTCACCAGTAATAACAACTAGCTTCATCAGGCGACAGCCAGATTTGTGGAGTTCACCTGTTTCGTTCCTTAAATAGAGGCGTAGATGTGATGACAACACTTGTGCACTCTTCTTGCGTAAAGT